ACTGTATAGGTTAAGTTAGGTGAGGTCCAGAGTGAGTCTATTCGACCCGCAAGGGTTTATTGTGGCTCACACCTATTCACACTCGACCAAATGAACCAAGCTTCTTAACGAAGCCGATTAGTTTGTATGGTGAGTGGTCTTTCAGATCAGATGGTAAGAGTACGGATCTGCCGAACTCTTAAAACCTGATTCGGTCCCCAGCGGGGCAGGCACAAAGTATGTGCTCTGCTGTTTCATCATTTTCCGAACAGAGGCGACACACACTGTCTTCCAACAGTCCGAGTCTCTGTATATGATGATTCAAATGACAGTGACCTATAAGAGGGCCTGTTAGACATCGTAGTTCATCCCTATTGTTGACCAACAACTGTTTGGTATCAAGCTTCGAAGGGTGAATAAACGCCCTTGAGTGAGCCAATCCTGGAAGATTCTCCCAGAAGTTCATAAATCTTCTTGTCATCCAGGTGTCCAATCTTTGTTTGGCAGAGCCTCAAGCGATGCCAGTGATAGGTTCTGGTCCGACGAAGCTGCTTGCAGCACCCTCTTTTGCAAGGTGCTGTTTTACTGTATATATTGATGCTATTTTTTTCAAATTTGATTTTTTTTATCCAAACCGCTGCAGAAACAGACCGAAAAATTAACCATGCATTTGGCAAAAATAGTGTTGACGCACTGTTCGACGTTGATTTACAAAATTTCGGTCCGGAGATTGTAGCCTCGAAGATGAGCCCCGAAGTGGTCGACCTACAATAATCTAGAACCTTGGAAAAGACTGTCCTATCACGAACGGTGCGTGGGATGACGGAAGAACTGGGCGTCAGCTCACATGAGGTTTCTGATGGTTCAAAACGATTGAAAATATCAAAAATCCCGAAAAGTGAGTGCCCGACGATTTGAACGATGGGCAAAAATTGTCACGTTTCGAAGTTTGTTCTTCCTTACTTTTGCACAACCAAAACTATCCTTTTTTGTTAGAATCGTCACGTGTGATTTAACCCACCAATAAAGATCATGGTAACTGTTTCATAGTCAGTGGCCGGTGTGATTCACTATAACTTTCTGCAACCAGGCCAAATCATCACAACAGACTCTTATTGTGAGGAAATGTACCAAAACTTGCTTCAGTATCAGCCGGCACTGTCAATGGACGAGGTTCGATCCTGCTCCACGACAACGCTTGTCCGCACGTTTCCCAAATCACCGTCTGAAAATTGGATGAATTGAGCGTCGAAATTCTGCATCACCCACCATACTACCCAGACCTCTCGCCAACCGACTACAATCTTTTCGAGCACTTCGACAACTTTCTCATCGGTAGAACTTTCGCCAATCAGGACCAGGCAAAACGGTCTTCGTCGATTTCATCGAATCCAGAGCATTCAATTTTCATGCAGACGGAATTATTCGACTTGTGAGACTGTGTGAAATCTATTTTATTAATGTGCATTGCCTCTTCTTTTCTCTATATACTATTGGATAGAAACTTTGAGAGTTTTATCGAGTACTACTATATCTTCGAATGAGATAATGTGAGTGCCTTCTTTGTTGAAAGCTTGTTCAGCTTCAGCTGATTTGTCGGTTTGTCCAAGTCTACAACTTCTCTTGTGTTCCGAGAGACGGGTACATACACTTCTTTTCGTGGTTCCAATGTAGACCAGCCTGCGGTTACAGGGAATCCCGATACCCCCGGGTTTGCTGAATGTTCTCTGGGGTCCTTAGCTCAGACTTTGATAGTTTATGTTGGCCTAAATATTGGTTTCACGTCGGGTTTCTTCAATATTCTTTCAATCCGGTCTGTAATATTTTGAACAGAAAGGAAAGGTTTTTTCCCTGACCACCTCAGCCTGGGTTACTTTGGCGATACTTTCGTGGTGGTTAGAGCCACCAGCCACAGTCACCAGCCATACAACCATGTCATTGATAAGCTCGTTTCGTCCCACATACGGAACCGTTTTATGAATGAATTAGGTGCAGGTAACGTAGTAGATGAATGTTGAAACATTTCAATATTCAGTTTTGTTCTTTCAAGTCGTCACACCTTTGTTGTGATTTGAACGAATTCCAATCTAGTTGTATGAACAGTTCGCACATTTCTCTCTTTTCTTCATTTGTATATCTCACTATATCAAATAAGTTAAATTGCAATCCCACAGAAGAAATTTTACCGACAAGAAGTTCTTGTGACACAATAATGAAAGTAGTGACAGATGATATACATTTCTTGTTATTGTTACGATTTTTATTCGGGTTCGAAGGCCGTCATGGTTGGAACTGTATCTTAACGTTTCGCCAGCATGAGTGGCTGACTTCTTCAGAGGTTTATTCATCTTGATGGTTCACCGGTGAATAAACCTCTGAAGAAACCAGCCACTCGTGCTGGCGAAAATTTAGGATACAGTTCCAAACCACGACGGATACAGGATACAGTTCCACCCCATACAATGATTTCAAATTTTAATACCAAGCCTTGTAAAAACTATATTGTAATAATCTGGTAAAAAAACTTTGGTTCTGTAATTTGTTTCAAAGGAACAAATGACATATCCGACAATAGTGATTCCTCGCGAGAAGACTGATAATGCATTGTAGTCTAATCAACAAGTTCAAAAACAAAAACAAAATAGAGATAAAGGTCCAAAAATATGAGCGATAGCTCATTGGAAGGTATTCAAGGAGACGACATGACTAAATGTATAAGAAGTTTGAACCCTTGAAATATGTTGTGAATAATTTATTAGTTGTTTCTTACTTTAATTCTGATACGTTCCATTTAGTTGAAGATGAGTGAGTTGATTTTTTTAGCATAATGTACTACATGTTGTTAATTGAATTAATGGTTAAAATCACCTGAACATCATGGTTGAATTCAGCGTGAAAAGTTATTTCGAAAAATGTCATGAAATATGCAGGTCCGAATTGGAAAGAATGAGGGTTGCACTTGACAGTGCTTCTACGAATGCAAACTTTTTTCTCCTTTGACCGACCTTGTTACTCTTATGGTTTAAAAATGACCAATACAATCCCATTAAAAAAGTGGTCACTCTATATGAAGCGACAATAAAAATTCGAAAAATTTCAATTCTGAAGAAGAAGCAATAATAAAACCGACTCGGGCATTGCGACCGGTATCACATCGCCTTTGATAATGTCTACCGCAGTAGAAGACGTCAGGCATAAAAACCTGCAGACCACGGCCAAAAAACCCGAAAAATATAATAATGATAATATCGTTCATCATGCATGAAAAAACATTTATACATGACAGGAAAAGGGTTAGCCAAAGGCTATCTTCCACCCCTACCAAAAATTATACAGTGAGTATAAGAAAATAATCATAAACAAACTTATTTACTATCATAACAATAATAGAGAAGAGAAAAAATAATACATCATAGTTGCTAATAACTCTTAATATTCGTAACATTATTTTAGTCAATTTAACAATTTTATTGCACTACCATACATTGAATTTTAAATTGTTTAAATTAGCACTGAGCAGTAAGCATCTGTGATTTTATTTCTTCCTTAAATTGATGAAGATTATGATTCAAAAGGAGTAAAACTTCATTCAGATGAGAAGGGGCTACATAAGAAAAACATCCTTGAAATTTGGAGCCTGTATCTTGAATGAGTTAATTCTCAAATTGACCATATGTATGTCAGAATGCCTGCTTAATAAACTATATAAATAACTAGGTGTTTTAGTTTGAAGCAACTTGAACAAAAACATTTTTATCAAATATTGGACTCTGTACCTCACATTCAGCTTCTTCATTTTTAACAAAANCGCATTTATCGTACCAACTAATATTAAATCCTCGATTTTGTTGATTATCTGACGCTTTAATTGAAATCAAATTTGGTTGAGGCCTTCCCAGAGTTTTAATTATGTAAAATGTATTATCATGAGATAAAGACTTGAAATTACTTGTCAGCAACCAATCGACTAAGTCGTCAGATTTTTTAATTTCGTCCAACTTATCCATAATAAATGGAAAAAAAACTTACCGAAAAGTGAAAACCTGAAAGCACCTTGGAATTGAAAAAAAAAAACACTTGAAAAACATATTAAAAATATAACCAAAAAGCACTGCTATAATACAATACTGCCTGTTTCATACACAAAAAACAAATATCATCAAGAAACACTAAAATGATTTACCGAAATATTTTTCAGTCCCGGTCCGTCACGGCATCCCGTCCGAATAATTAAATCAAAAACAAACGCAGTCGTACACTAACGAAGACCAACTGGAGGCTAGCCTCCTCTAACGCTGTAATTTCTGCAACTTAAATTATAAATCGGGACGTATGTCGCTGGCTGGATCGGTCTCGAGGAGCTTGTGTTTTTTAAAGTGGTCAGAGGCTTGGCTCCCTTGCATCGTATCAACGTATGGCATTTATTATTTCGAGTCGATGGTTTCTTCGTTATTCGTTCCTGGGTGGGCGGTGCGTTTGAGGTTTATTGATGCAGAATACAGTGTGGTACGTACTACGTAGTGAGTGATAGTGTTTCTTCGGGCATATTATGTATTGATATTAAAAATTAATGGTAAAGTAATGATACCCAAGCATTTTTAGAAAATAATAAAAAAATAATCATAATTGAATGTCAATATCTTTTAATTTATTGCGATGAATAGCCTCAAATTTCATGGGGAGGCTAAGCCTCCCTTGCCTCCTCTGACGAGCCGCCGCTGGCAATAACATATTTTGATTATGAAGGAACATGAATGATATCTGCCTATTTGATATGGTTAAGGCCCAGCGACTCGCACGAAGTTATTTTACTTCTTATCCAAACTAAGTTTCACCAACCAAGTTGGTGTCTTCAGGAGAAGAAGTGTTTTTTTTTGTTTTTTCTAATCATTTTGGATTTTCCTTTGCTAATTCGCATACCTATGTCAAATAACTTTCACATATACACTTGCATGAAAGAGACATGTTTGATGATCACTACTTGAATTCAACGGTTTACTGAAATTGCCTTTTATTTTCAGGGGTACCCGGAAAACGGAATGAAATCTACTACAACTGCTGCCCAGAGCCTTATATTGACATAACCTTCGTCATAATCATCCGCAGACGTACGCTCTACTACTTCTTCAATTTGATAGTGCCCTGCGTCCTTATTGCTTCCATGGCTGTCCTTGGTTTCACTTTGCCTCCCGATTCAGGAGAAAAACTCTCGCTGGGCGTGACTATTCTCCTCTCTCTTACTGTATTCCTCAACATGGTCGCCGAAACTATGCCAGCCACTTCGGACGCTGTTCCGTTGCTGGGAACATATTTCAACTGCATCATGTTCATGGTGGCTTCTTCGGTTGTTTCGACTATACTAATTCTCAACTACCATCATCGCAACGCTGATACGCACGAGATGTCTCAGTGGGTAAGTAACGATAATGTTCAAACATATATATTTTTAGGAGATTAGTTGTTGGGAAGAAGGTTTCAGGTTTTTCTTCTTTATACAAAAAGCAATTGGGGTTCAGAATAAACTTTTCACAAAGATTCGTAAATCATGTATAGAAGTTACTTTCAGATACAAACTGGAAGATGAGACCGTTCCGAAACAATTACTTTCACAAGAACGTTGAATCACACGATAGTATAAGTACTTTCAAAACAACTATACTTTCATGTGAATAATAAATTATACGAAAATCCTTTTCTCATATTCAGTTTTTAATCCTAACATTCGTTATGAAATTGAATCAGATGTCATCGTCACACTATATAATATACAAGGCGTTTCAACGAAAACTTGACCCCCCCTGTAAGTCAGAAACGGACGTGTAATCGAAAATTTCAAAGAGCACATCAATTTTCATTTCTAGGAGGACTAATTCTGATATGGAAATAATACCCGAAATTTTACCCCCCTGCGGTCAGCAACTACTCCTCTATTTTTTTCAATGGCATGGAGGGTCGAATGATATACCATTTGAAAGGTCTTTCGTTCCTCTATTACTTCTGTTTTTTTCGGATTTGGTTCATTCATTATTGACAAACTGAATGTTGAACGTTTCATTTAAGAAAAAACAGAAAATTCGCTGTCCCTCATTTTATTGAGGAAATCAACAAAAGTAATATCAATGGTAACACAATCAGCAGATGAAGTGTTCAAAATGACCTCCATCTAGTTCCATCAAATAATACAGTCCACTATCGAAAGCGTTCCTTACATTATTGAAGATGTGCGGAGTCAGAAAACGGCATTCCCGAATAATTCTCTGTCACAGGTCTTCTAGGTTTGTAGAATTTATTTAATTAGTAGTGAACGTTTCAAAATGGACGACACTGTTGGTTTTCTCTGCACTGATAGTTTTTGTTTAATCAAGTTGTCTCAGAACAAAAAGTAGATAGTTGACCACTATCCTTCTTCACGAATTATTATTGGCATCCGTTCACTGTGTTCCAACATGTTTTATTTTACTGAAGAAAGAATAGAAATTGTTCCAACCTATTATCAAAATAATGAATGTGCTAAAGCTGCTGCACGAATTTATAATACGAATCATCCAGATCACAACGTGAGCCATTAATACGTTAAACAATTAATGAATAAGTTTCGAACTTCAGGTTCTGTTCACAACAGAAAACATGAAGTATCCCATTCTGTCAGAAATGACGGAGTTGAAGTTGCAGTTTTAGGACATATACAAACGGATAATCGACAATATATCAGACAAGTAGCTAGAGCGTCTGTTGTATCAGCTACTAGTGTTTTTCGGATTTTGAAAGCCTACAAATTCCATCTTTTCAAAATGAGGCTAGTTTTGGAATTAAACAAAAATGATCTTCATCGTCGACTTCAGTCGAGGTGTTCAGCGAGAAATTGACCAATAACTCAAACCTATTATAGATAGATAGCACGTTATTTCCAACAGGTTTACACCCAATTACAGGAAATGTTAAAGAAAATATAATCCTTGGTAATCATATTGTTGGACCATTCTTCATTGAAAGTAATCTCAATGGAGACACATACTTAAATCTATAACAAGACTGTGTGGATCCTATAATTACAAAGTTCAGAAAATGATGAGAATTTAGTAGAAAATGAGATAATATTTCAGAAGAATGGTCCATTCCTACATTTTGATGTTCGAGTGGGACAGTTTTTGGACAAACATTTTCCAATGCGTTGGATCGGCAGAAGGGGTCCAGTGGAGTGGCCAGCTAGATCACCTGACCTCACATCGATGGATGTTTTTCTGTGGGAACACCTGGAGTCGAAAGTGTACTCTACTAAACCTACAAATCTAGAAGACCTACGACAGAGAATAATTGTTCGGGAATGCCGACTGCTGACTCCGGACATCTTGAATAATGTACAAAACGCTTTCGAGAGTAGACTGTATAATTGAACGGAACTAGGTGGGTGTCATTTTGAACAATTTATCCGTCGATTTTGTTTCCACTGATATTATTTGTTGTTGATTTCCTCATTAAAATGAGCGACAGCGAATTTTCTGTTTTTTCTTGAAACACACGTTCAACATTCAGTTTCTCAATAACGAATGAACCAATTCCGAAAAAAAAAGAGAAGTAATGGAGGAACAAGAGACCTTTCAAATTATATATCATTCGACCCCCCCTTGCCATTGAAAAATGGGGGGGGGGGTAGTTGCTGACCGCAGGGGGGTAAAATTTTCGGTATGATTTCCATATCAAAATAAAAATTGATGTGTTCTTTGAAATTTTCTATTACACGTCCGTTTCTGACTTGGAGGAGGGGGTCAGGTCTTCGTTGGAACGCCCTGTATGAAAGGTTCACGATATGAAATTCCACTATCATCCTCAATGGCTTCATTTTGGATATTTAAAGACAAATCACTCATTTCATTCATAATATTACTACTTTAAGTCACCGAAAAATATAAATCTACTCACGATGACAGTACCTACCTATTGACATGCATTCGCTCATTTGATCAAATCCCAGCTATAGGAATCTTGTTCTAATTGATAGGGGTATATTTTTAGAAGAAATAAGTTTTGGGAAAAGAAGATTTTTGCTTTCACTATTATGTCTATGATTACTGATGAAGTTGAATGACAGAATAATATTAATAATAATATTCAATTGTCAGTTGAAGAGTACAAATGAATGCATATTGAAAACAAATGATTATTGATCAAATTGAATCATGAAGTAACAATAACGATAATATGATAATAATTGAAAAACATCATATGATTTGCACAAAATTTTGGATGAAGGTTCTACTTATCGTCTACAAGTTGACCCTGTACCGGAGATTGCATTCATTTTGGTAGTGGGCCTTATTTCTTCTCAGGGGCGAAAATTGTTTCATTGAAAATATAATTTAACAGGAACACATATACAATTATAGTCATTTTCCTAATACGTCAACTCTATTCATGGAAACATTGAATTCAGAATAGTACTAGAAACCAATAATTCAATAAACTTTTTAAATGTCACAATTACAAAAATTATTAACAAATAGTATTTCACAATTTACCATAAACCATTTCATACAGACACAACTGTAAACAACTATTTCAATTAATATTACTGGAGTTTTATCCGAACACCAATTCACTTCGAGACGTGTTTCGATCACCAAGTGAACATTTTCAAGAGGAAGTTCAATCATATAAAATAAGAATACTAACAAATAAACAAGATATTAACATAGCATTTGAAACTAGTAACTCCTTGGGTAGACATATAAAGAAGAACAAGTCACAGATAGACAAGGATAACAGATGCCTAAAAGTGTATGTAAAAAGAAATTTCAAAACGAGAATCTCCGAACATAGAATATGTTTAGATTTGAAGAAGAACAATTTTATCTTTGCGTACCACCTGTTAGAGAACGATCCCGATTTCAATACTATGTACGGAAGTTGAATCTGCTGAAGTATCTGGAATTGTATGTTCGGGTTTCCTGCTGAACGAGAAAAAGGAAATTGATTACTCACCATTGTGACTGGTTATAAATAAAAAAGTATTGGTTAATACTGAAAGAACAATTCGTTCTTTCAGTATTAACCAATTAAGTTAGGTGCCTTTTACTGTGGTATATAAGAATTGTAGCCCAGTGTGTAATATTCATTTCCACCGAGGTGGAAACGCGTCCACAAATAAAAATGTTTGTTCAAATTGTGTAATTATCATCATATTATAGTGTTATTGATTTTCATCACGTGACGGCTCAGCCCATTCATGTTTCTTTCGTGGTTTATCCTAACATCACTGATGTGTCCTATTACAGGTCGAAACAGCGCTATATAATATTGAATCACGAATGTTCTGCTTCAGGCTACTGGTAAATTATGTATCGGTGTTGAAGAAAAATGAACAAGTGTGGATTTATTTATCTCTTCTTATTCGAAATTTAACCAACTTTCTGAAAAATTTGAAAATTTTTTGCAGTATTTTCGAATCTTCCATTATCGTTTTAGGGAATATGCGAAAACCTCGAGAGCAAAGAAAAGATTAATTCATGCACAGTTTGATGTTAGTACCAGCTCCTCTGTCTCAAACAATAACTTGTATTTTTCATCACGGATTGGCTCCCGATTAAACACCGCGAGAACCAAATTGGGGACTGAACTTAAGAGAATTCAATTTTTTGTTGAAAAACCGCACTGGAAATGTTATAGATATTTGACATTTCAGGTACTTGATGAAGATTCCGACAGTTACATGTAGTACATGAAGATAGTAAGAATGACTTGAGAAAATAATTATTCATTTGATGATCACCAAAACTTTTTTCCAGGATAATACATCATTGCCAAAAGTGCTTGTGAAATACAGTTCCGTATTTGAAATTTCAAATCTGACGGTACCACATGGTACCGTATAAAAATTCTAAAATCATATTCTGATAGTTCAATGAGAGTTGCTAAAGCAATGTATAAACAGATTTCCAGTATCTCTACGAAGACGGTACAGCTCAAAATGGAATTTCAAAAGTTTCGTTTATTTATCTCTAGGACTAAAAATGCTGGAGTCGATTTTTCGGTAAATAAATACTCAAAAATTAACAATTTAACAAATTCTCTATCTCTTGCCGTTCATGAGATCCGTTAATTCCATTACCGATTTGTTTGAATTGGTTGAAAACATGACGATGCCAATCGAGCGAAAACGGGCCGAAGCCGGGATGAGCCGCTAGTGTTTTGTGCTTTGTGACTGATAATTCTGAATACTGAATATAATAATAAAAAAAATTAAAGAGTTCTTGAGGGTTGTCATTTTCCAACCAAATTGTTTGGATTTCCGACATATTTCATTTCAATAAATAGTCGAAATTATTTTTGGACGTGGTCTGCAGGTTTCATTGCTAGCGTTTCGCCTACGACTGCGGTATCAGAGACGATGAAGTCTACGGACGAAATACTGTACTT